AACTACACAAACAGCAAGAATACGAACGGTCTAGGCGTAAACCACGCACATTCCAAATTAGCTGGCAGGCGGAGTTCAAAGACTGGTTACTTTTTGATAACAACAACAAGGTGATGTATTGCCGGCCTTGTCGAGGATCGTGCAGCAGAATTGATCCTTGTAGAAGCTGAGGCTGACGCCAATGATTGTGAACACGATGCAAAATGCATGTCAAATTCAGAGTCGGCCAGTGATCATGATAGTGTTTTTTCTGAAGATTTTGATGAGTTTAGTGACGATGAAAGAAATGATGATGACCTCTTTGAGGCTGCAGATAATATATCTGATTAATTAGTAAATAAAGGTTTTGCAATTGCAAGCTTGTATTATCTGTTTAGTCTTTGTTTGTTAAATATCAGGGCCTACAGTTAGCTAGAAGGACCTACAGTTTCAATTTGACATAGGTCCTTCGGGCCTTTTATGATTTTCAGTTAATTTCGAACACTGGTACAGTGGAAGTATTGATCAACGCACAGCAAAGGTCGATGGGACCGCGTACTGTCTGAGTGCATACTTTGCAGTATCTTCCTAATAACCTTATTATTATACATCTTTTCTCCCTAGGAATGCATCATGGGAATGCTGAAATCCAAAACTTTTAGAATGAAATCAGCGAAATTCTTTGTGTGGTCAGATCAAGGTCAAACTTTGGGGGGCAGCCATGTTTGTTTTTTTGGAATTTGTGTTTCCTAATATGGTAGAATGAAAATACCTAGTGCAATACCGCAAAATTATGGCACGCTATAACTTATAGCGTTACAGTGACAGTGTATAATAATTGTTGTTAATTCTTCTTGTTACAGATTGCAGCTGTAGTGGGCATGTACCCGTGTAGTAGGACTATCGTGACCTATTATGGCCGATCAAAGCCCTAATTTACTACATCAAGGGGGGTCACAGCAGCGACGATCTACACGTGGCACAACAAAACGCAAAAATTCCACAAACTGTGATAATTATTCTTCTAAGAGCCAAAAAAAAAGGTATTGTGATTTTTAAATGTATGCCTTACCTTTTCTTACATTTAATAATGTTCAAAAATTTTAAGTTTATTTTGTCTTCTTAGACACTGGCCATTTACCTAAGCACATTTTGATATTACTCAGTGATGTATGCAACAAACACTTCATTGTCATTTTGTACTATCTCTTTATGTATTTTGTTGATCACTATTATTAATTTCAGGTCCTCACAGACTCCAAATACTGAAGTGAACTGTTCTTCAACTAGTACACAGCAGTTATATAAAAGTAATCCACAGAGGTTAGTTTGTTTTGTCTAGGTTCAACAACTGAAGATTTCTCTAGTCATACCAGTGAGCCATATGCCAGTCTGATTAGAATAAGTTTTGTTATTGTTACTTTTGAGTAGAACCCATTAGATCTGATCAACTACCACATTCATTCATTTTGACTGGCTAATCAGAATGGAATGTGTATTTCAAACAAGAAAGCACCATGCTAAATGAACGCAATATGTCAGTACAACCTTGATGCATGACATAATGGGTAGTGTGTGATTTTGATTTCTATGATTGGCTGCAGTGACCTTCAGCACTTGCCAGGATTGCGATATTCTGTGTTGGAAAAATGTTGAAGGAAATGTAAATTTGTTTCATGCTGTTCCTGTCAGTGCGCTGTGAAAATCACATTATGAGTAGCAGATGGATGCAGCAGGATGAAATGCATAGGCCCACTTAAGTAAATGGGTATTATGACAATACTCAATACTCAGTATTTTCCTTTCAAGAATTCCAAAACCGTCATTAAAACAATGTCTATTTTTCTCTTTCAGACAACCAGGTAAACGTGGACGTACTCCTAAAAGAAAGCATCCTTTGCCGTCTCTCTGTATAGAAACATTGAAAGTACAGAAACTTTCTTCTACCCAAACTGTCTCTGTTGATACAGTTCCACCTAAAAGGAAAAGAGGTAGGCCCCGGAAAGTTGCATGTGAGAGTGCTGATCAAGCCAGTTCTAGTATAAATAAACCTCTGTCAAGAGCTACACTTAAGAAGTTTGAAACTACCCAGAGTGAGTCAAACCGTCAAAGAAGTCAAAGTCTTTGTAGCGATTCATCTAAAAACTCTACTTCGAGTAAACAAGGAAAAGGTGTTTCAGATAAAGGTTGCCGGAATAGGAGTGTGAGTACAGCCTCAACTGCTTCAATACAAAGTGCAGTACCACTGCGAAGAAGCAGAAGGAATTCACGTAGATCAAGTATTGATTCTGCTGTCAGTTTAGATCGACAAGAGAACGTGCCATCTACGTCTGTTGCTATCAGAACAAACCGTCGAAAAAAGAAACCGACTGACAATAAAGTCAAAGTAAAAAGTGAAGTATTCAAACTGGAGGCCACAGAACCAAGTTCATCAAAAACCAAACCGAAGAGAAAACCAGGAAGACCCCCGACAAATAAAACAAGCAGCTCAGAACCAAGTACTTCAAAAGGAAAAGGTTTTAAAAAACAGACTACTAAAGGAAAGGGCAAACATTTGAAAGCTACTGATCCAAGTAGTTCAGTCAGTTCAAAAACGGGGAACAGTACATCAACCAATCCCTCTGACCCACAGGCTCCTACCTCTTCATCAAGGAGGTCTTCAAGAGGTCGTGAAGCTGCAGGCAGAGGTAAGTGAATCATTGATGTAATTTACTTACTACATACAGCTAGATATTGTTTGTTGTAATACCATGTGCTACAGAGGCCGATTTTTGGTTGATCAGTATCACATGTTGTATACTTATTACCATACTTCCCCGGTTATAAGCCCCTTCCTGGGTATAAGCCCACCCCTATATTTTTAGAAATTTTTTAGTTGAGGTCATCCGCAGTTATGGACTGTTATTACTCGCAATGAAAACCAAGCTTTCAAAACCTCAAAAATGTGGTCATTGAATAATCAGTGTCTATTGAGACTATTGTGAATGGTGTATGAACAGGTAAACTGTGCTTCAATATCACCTATTGGTGACCATGAATGGTGTTAAATACTTTCTATATGCTCAGTTTACTTTTCGAAAATCGTGAATCACCAGTTTTATTGTCGAATTCGATGCTAACTAATCGTATTTTAACAATGCAGTAACGGACAAAAAAATTACGTCGTCAACACTTGGAAATTTCTGGAAAATTTCTTCAGTAAGACACGGCATTTTGATTGGTTAGGACGAACTTGACTTGATTCAGAGGATGTTGTTTCAGGTCAAATCAGGCAGAAAAAAACATCTTGGCAGAGATTGCCTTGCATCAAGAATTTTCCCACAGGCCCTGATCATTTTACATCAATATGTATAGGCTTATGACTAGGGAAATACAGTAGATGATAATAAGCTATTTTTTGCTTTGTGCGAGATCCTGTGAGACTGTTAGATTTGCCTAGCAAACGGTTGCTAGTCATGTGATACAGGTCAAGCTTTGATTAAAAATGGCATTAAATCCTGAGTTGTGCGTTGAATTTCCAAGTGATTTCTTGTATCTGTTTTCAACCATGGCTGACTTCGATAGAATGATGATGCCACAGCCTAAATACATTCCCTGTAAATGTCATTGTTTCATTGTACAACTATAAAAAGAATATTCAAAGAAGACCCTGATTTCTTATGTCACGATCTAAAAACAATGTCGCTACAAGACTTAACAAACTTGATTGTAATTTCACCAATCTTTTGAAATTACCTGGTTACTCTAAAGATTTCAGTAATGCTCCAGAATTCGGCTTATCCATTGTTTTCAATTATTCTATATTAGCAATCTCAATAGCCACGTTAGCGTATACCACGGAGGAACTATATAGCTCCATGCATATAGTAACTGAGATTTGAAATGGCTAAAATAACTACTAAATTCTGAAGTTACAATATCATGCTATTCTATAGCACAATGCGTGATGTTGAGGAAATAATAACCACTATAAAGCAGAATATCCGTATAATGATATCATTTTTTCCATTCATAATAAATTATAAGTATTATAAGGTTATTATAAAGATACCTCAAAGTATGCACAAAGACAGTACAGCGGCGTACCAGAGTCGATGCGACAGCGAACTTTCTGAGTCCATACTTTAAGGTATCTTTGTATCCGGTCAAACCCTGGTGTAAGAGGACGCTTACGCGTGTAATCATTCCATATTTGCAATTCGCATTTCCTAATATGGTAGGATGAAAATACCCAGTCAAATACGAAAAATTATGGCACGCTGTAACTTAATGCGTTACGGTGACAGACGTATAATAATACAATTTATTTGTGGCTAATGATAACTTAATGTGGCAAATAACATGCTAGCCGGGCCTGCAAAGTGTTCTAAGATGTCAAATTATATTGCGACGAGCATGTGGTTGATCTGCAGTACACAGCATTTCCGAAACAAGTTCATTTTGCTGGGCTTGGTTACGACCTTATCTTCCACGATTTGATAATACAGTATTCAACATCTTTCGCAAAGTGCAGGGAACAAATGTACGTGTACTGGGTGAAATTGTCTGCCCGAGAACAGGTACTGATCTATTGATCACACTTTTCAGACTTTGTTTTTAGTCCCCGTTCGGACGCAGTCCGAAAACGGGGTCTTATGTTTTGACCTCCGTGCGTCTGTGCGTGCGTGCGTCCGGACCTGTATCTTAGAAATGCCCTGACCAATTACAATCAAACTTCACACATACATCATACATGATATCATACATATGCACGTCAATTTGTTTAATGATCTGATTCAAGATGGCCGAATGGCGGCCATTTATGTGCTAAAAATCTTAAAAATCAAGCATTTCCTCGGCTGTTTACAGATGGATTTTGTTCAAACCTTGTATATACGTTGGACATTATAGGACCTTGATGCACATCATTTTGTTTTACGATCTGTTTCAAGATGGCCGTATGGCGGCCATTTTTGTGCTAAAAAATCATAAAAATCAACCATTTCTCGGCTGTTTACAGATGGATTTTGTTCAAACTTGGTATATGCATTAGACATTATGGGACCTTGATGCAAATAATTTTGTTTTTCAGATAACATTCAAAATGGCCGACTGGCGGCCATTTTGTATTAATCAATGTGGTTCTCCGACTTGTTTTGACTTATTATGTTCAAATTTTAAATATTCTTTATACATCATGTCATAGATAGACAGATATATTGGTTTGACGATCCTATTCAAAATGGCCGAATGGTTGTCATTTTTGTACTAAAAAATCATCAAATATTAATAGCATTTCTGGCATTTATGGATGGATTTCGTTCAAACTTGGTACATACATTACACATTACGGGTTCCTGACGGGTCATTTTATTTTTTCAGATCAGATTCAAAATGGCTGTCTGGCGGCCATTTTGTTTTAATGAATGGGTTTCTTTGCAGTTAGTGTGTCTGCATGTGTGTGTGTGTGTGTGTGTGTGTGTGTGTGTATGTATGTATGTATGTGTATGTGTATGTCTGTATGTGTGTCCAACTGTTCCACTGCTATCTCAAGAACCATACATCGGTTTTTGATGAAACTTGGTGCATAGATGCTCTGGGCCAATGCGCAGATTTGATTAGGTTTTGGTAAAAATCCATGCTCGTTAATTACCTAATTTGCATGATAATTAGCTAATTTTTAGCTGTTCTATGACTGTTCCACTGATATCTAAAGAACCACTCATTGGATTTTGATGAAACTTGGTACATAGATGCTCTGAACATATGCGCAGATTTGATTAGTTTTTGGTAAAAATCTGTGCATATTAATTACCTAATTTGCATGATAATTAGCTATTTTTTAGTGGTTCCATGACTGTTCCACTGATATCTAAACAACCACTCATTGGATTTTGATGAAACTTGGTACATAGATGCTCTGAACTAATGCTAGGTTTTGATTAGTTTTTGGTAATAATCCGTGGATACTAATTACCCAATTTGCATAATGATCAGTCAATTTTCGGTTTTTCCACTGATATCTCAAGTACTAATCATCACATTTCAATGAAACTTGGTACATAGATGTCATATGACACTGCACAGACCTGATAGTTTTTATGGTAATATCAGTACATATAATTACCTAATTTGCATAATTAATTAATTTTCAGCTTTTGATATAAGTAGTGAGCATTACATTTCAATGAAACTTGGTACTTACATACTCAAGGACTATGCAGAGATTGATTGCTTCGGATAAATATTTGTGCATATTAATCACCTAATTTGCATAATTAGTTAATTTTCTGCTTTTCCACTAGTATCTCAAGTACTAATCATCACATTTCAATGAAACTTGGTACATAGATGTCATATGACACTGCACAGACCTGATAGTTTTTATGGTAATATCAGTACATATAATTACCTAATTTGCATAATTAATTAATTTTCAGCTTTTGATATAAGTAGTGAGCATTACATTTCAATGAAACTTGGTACTTACATACTCAAGGACTATGCAGAGATTGATTGCTTCGGATAAATATTTGTGCATATTAATCACCTAATTTGCATAATTAGTTAATTTTCTGCTTTTCCACTAGTATCTCAAGTACTAATCATCACATTTCAATGAAACTTGGTACATAGATCCTTTAGGACTATGCAGACACCTGATTAGTTTCAGGGTAAATAATTGTGCATATTAATTACCTAATTTGCATAATTAATTTTCAGCTTTTCTACTGATATCTAAAGTACTAATCATCACATTTCAATGAATCTAGAATTATGCAGAGACCCAATTAGTTTTTGGTAAATATTTGCATATTAATCACCTAATTTGCATAATTAACCAATTTCCAACTTTTACACTGATATCTCAGGTACTAATCATCACGAATCAATGAATGTTTATACATGGATGCTGTAGGACAATAGACAGATCTGGATAATTGTGGGTTAAAATCTGTACATATTAATTACCCAATTTGCATAATTAACCAATTTTAAGCTTTCACACTGATATCTGAAGTACTAATTTCCATTTTAATGAAACTTAGTACAAAGATGCTCTAGGACAATGTACAAACCTAATTAGTTTGGAGTGAAACTCTGTTCATATTAATTCCCTAATTAGCATAATAATTCATAATTGACTCCGGTGTGCGAAGCACAAAAGGGAGTCTTTGCAGTTACCCTGTCTGTATGTATGTATGTATGTCACTTTTTAGCTCCGACTTTGTCGAGCGGAGCTTATCATATGAGTGATTGTCCGTCGTCGTCGTCCGTGACAATGTTTTACTTTTTCGACTTCTTCTTGAAAACTACAAGCCTGAATGCTTTGATACTTGGTGTATATGTACCTTGGGTAGACCTCTCTTAGGTTTGTTCATTTCATGTTGATATCTTCAATTCTCTAATTTTGGTGAATATTTTTGTAATTTTTGGTAAAAAGTGATATTTTCGACTTCTTGTTAAAAATCAATAGTTCAATTGCTTTGATATTACATATATAGATACTACATGTAGACCTTTCTCAGATTTGTTCATTTTGTGATGATATCTTCAGTTCTCTAATTTTGGTGAATATTTTTGCCATTTTTGGTGAAAAGTGATATTATTTTTGGTAAAAAGTGATATTTTCGACTTCTTGTTAAAAACTGTAAGTCCGATTGCTTTGATACTATTCATATTGTTCATTTTCTAATGATGTCTTCAGTTCTTTAATTGAAATGTGCATTGCTAACAGCGGAGCTATCTCAGCCGATAGGCTGCTTGTTTTGTTCCATCGTTATCTCAAAAACCACTAATCAAATTTTGGTGAAACTTGGTACATAGATGCTCTGGGATAATGCAGAGTTGATTAGGTTTTGATAAAAATTCATGAATATTAATTACCTAATTTTTAGCTGTTCCATGACTTCCACTGATATCTGAAGAACCACTCATTGGATTTTGATGAAACTTGGCATGTACATATTAATTACCTAATTTGCATAATTAATTAATTTTCAGCTTTTGATATTTCGAGTAGTAATGATCATGTTTCAATGAAACTTGGCACATAGTTACTTGAGGACTGTGCAGAGACCTAATCAGTTTTTGGGTAAATATTTGTGCATATTGATCACCTTATTAGCCTAATTAGTTAATTTTCAGCTTTTCACCTGATACAAATGTATCTCAGGTACTAATCATCACATTTCAATGAGACTTGCGACATGCAGAGACCTGATTAATTTTGGGATAAATAATTGTGCATATTAAATACCTAATTTGCATAATTAGTTAATTTTTTGCTGTTCTATGGCTGTTGCACTGATGTCTAAAAAAACACTCATTGGATTTTAATGAAACTTTTAAAGAGTACCCATCACATTTCAATGAACCTAGGACTATACACCATATTAGTTTTTGGTAAATATTTATGCTTCTTAATCA